AATGCCTAGACATCTGAAGTTGCATGCATACTAGAGAGACCAATAAGAAGCACGCTTTCCGTCCAACGCGTGCTTCTCATTGGTCTCTCTAAACATGCATGCAACTTCAGATGTCTAGGCATTAATGCCTCCGTGTGTACTATCCTTTTCTGTCAGATGATCATCACCCTGCTAGTCATCGTCCATGATGCAAGTAGACTATTTGTGTCTTGAATCATGGTCATTGTCGTATTTGTCATTCTCTTAATTGCTCTTAATCAGTGAAAAGGTTATGCTATCGTTATCAAAAGGTATATCATTTGCGTTGTTAACATTTACTCTTTTTATTGTAAAAAAAATACAGTTGTGAACCTAAATTCATTTAAATAATGATTTGTTCAATTTTATTCTTAAATATCAATATTTTTTTTAATAATGGAAAAAATTATAGATACAAAAATAATCATTTTTATATTATTAGACTAAAAAAATCGGTTTTTATGATCTGCTTTTATCCGATTGTGATAGTTTTTAAGGTGCATATTAAATTTTGGTATTGAATCCTAGCCTATTTATATTTAAATTAAAATTAAAGCCTATTTAGGAATTAAAATTAGATAAATATAAATTTAAAAGTTTTTAGCAGAAGAAACGAAAAAACAGTTGGTGACGCAAGCACGCGCGAGTACACAGAAACGCATCAAGAATGTTCTCGAGTGGACCAAATTATACTAAATTGAAGACGCATTTACGTCTAGCGATCAATCGTTTGAAATTGCTAGAAAAGAAGAAAACAGAATTGGCGCAGAAGGCACGTCGCGAGATCGCCGATTTTATTGCCGCTGGTAAAACAGAACGTGCTAAAATTAGGGTGGAACACATCATTCGTGAGGATTACATGGTAGAAGCGATGGAGTTATTGGAGATGTACTGTGATCTATTGCTAGCACGTTTTGGTCTTATCCAGCAAATGAAGTTAGTATGGTGGCTCTATACTTATATAAAAATTGATCGTGTGTATTTTTTTTCCATTTCTCGCTCATTTCATGATAGACTTTTGATTAACTAAATCTATGTATAATTCATTGCATAAAATATATATATTAACAATTTAATGATTTATTGAAGTAAATTGTCATTTATCCACAATTCTAATTTTTTTATTATTTATTTATTATCTTTTCAGAAATCTTGACGACGGGTTGGCAGAAGCTATATCAACCATTCTTTGGGCAGCACCTCGTATTCAGACGGATGTTCAGGAAATCAAAGTGATAGCAGATATCTTGACATCTAAATATGGTAAACAATATACAGAAGCATGTCGAGAAGAGGCAATTCAGACCATATCAGAGAAGCTAAAACATAAAATGAGTGTGCAATCGCCATCAAAATTGCTTGTGGAAAAATATTTAATAGAAATCGCCAAGAATTACAATGTGGAATATGAACCAGATCCACAAATAATGGCAGAAGCTCAGGATGCGATGTTAATAGACATAGGAGCCAATGGAGAAGAATCGAGAAACAATTTGGATACAGCCAGTGGAGGAGGAATACCTCATCCTCCTGGCTTTATAGGTTTTCCACAGGCACCTCTATTACCTGATTCTGGATTTCATTCAAACATGGTAATTTAAATTTATTTTTTATGTAAAAAAGAACATAATATAATTTTTATAATTGGCAAGCTGGATTTACAAAATTGTTTAAGAATTATTTCTAATCATTTTAACTATTGCATCATAAGGATATCACAATGTTCCAGGATTCAGAGAAAGATACTTCTACATTAGGATTTATATCTCCAAAATCACCATCTTCTGTTGAGAAGGATCAAAATACTCCTTTCAATCCCACTGCATTTTCGTACAATATACCTCTAGACAATGCCAATTCTAACAAACCCGTAAGTAACTTACATTAATTGCCAAAAATTTCTTAATCTTTCTATTAGTATAACAATAATAATGAAACAGTATTTTTAATAATAATATTTGAAAAATCATTAATTAGGAAGAAGATTTACCACCGCCGTACCGGCCTGACTTCCCACCTGATTTAAATAAACAGGTAAAGTCATAGAATTCTTCTCATCTTTCTAATTTTTGCAGAATATATTAAAATAATTAAAATAAATTTGAAAGGAATTAGGATCCCAAAAATAAATCAAAGATATCGAAGTAATAGCCAACGTGAGCCACGGATGTTGGTGTGTATAATAATTTTATTGTTTTATTCTCCAGCCCCATACAAACTGCGCGCCGCAATTTTTGTCGCTCTTAAAATGGTTCTTACATGAAGAAATCCACTATATCGAATTAAATTCACGAGCAATTTAACATCTTTAATGCTACCAAGCATCTGTAAGAATCCTCTTTCCCCCCAAAATCTGTCAAGAATTTATTGCGAAAAATATCAGCTAGGACTCGAACCTGGATCTCCCTACTTTACTTGCCAGGCGGGCATCCTATCATTTAACTACAGAGGCATGTGATGATATGCATCGCAATAACTAATATATAAACAGTAAAAACATTTTTTTCAGACAGCACAAGTCAAATAATAATTAAATTATTATATACACCAATATCCATGTTGGCTCACATTGGCTATTCAATACCTTGAAAACAAATAAAATATAGGTAATATTCATCTAAAATATCAAAAGAATTGCTGAATCATAAAACATAATCACATTATAACATATTAACATACATAATAATAAATAAAATTGACAATTATAGTCGGTTAATAAAAATATGACGTGTGCATATTATAAAAATAATATATTTTATTTTATTAACTGCAAAATTCGAACATTTCGACTTCATTTCGAGTCATTTTCAGCAAAATTTCTTTCAATTTTACATTCTTGAGTTCAGGTAGGGTGTTAAATTGGACGTCATTCGTAATTATTCAGCATAATTAAGGGCCCTGCTAGTCACCGCGGCCATATTGGACTCGTGACGTCATAAGCAAGAAACAGCGAGAAATGACACGTAAAAGTTTGTTGCGTGCCATTTTTAAATAAAGAGGATTTAGATAAAATTAAATAGGAACACTTTAGAAAACTTGTAAAAATAGATGGAAACTATCCTTTTCCCTCCTGAAAGTCAGTAAATAGTCGTAAAAGGCACGTAAAGTGAAGCTTATTCAGACAAAACTTACGATTTGACAGCTGTTGACAGGAATGGAAAAGATACTTTTACGTATATATGTATAAATAGTTATTGTCGTATGAAACTATAGTTATTGTAATATATTGTCAACTTTATTACTTTTTCTTTACAACAATTTTTTTCTAAATATAGTCAGATGAGAAACCCAAGCCCCAGCCAAGATCAAAGATGCCGATGAACAACTATCAACTTCCGGATCTGCCAGCAGTGCCGACAGAGAACAATGATTCGCCCGTGAATCCATCTGTGAATGATGATATTGATTTTGACGATTTGATGAAACGATTTGAAGATCTGAAGAAGAGGAAGTAATGGTCGACAGATATCAAAGCAATATATCTAAAACATGTTTTTGTTTTCACTTTATTATTGTTTAGCAATCGCGCGAGACTGCTGTATGTAGTAATGGCTTCTGCAAAAGGAAAAGGTTTAGCAAATTTAAGACAGTTTGCTATATGCTTTTGCAAAGAGAAAAATAAAAATGTATAGTTATACTTTGTCCGCGAATTAAGTATGTATAAATTGTTATAATATTAACTAAGTACAATATGTATTAATTTAATATATATATTTTTACGATTATTATATGTCCTTTATAATGTTTTATAATAAGTATATAAGTTAATATCAAGTCATATTTTAGAGAATGATTAATTTTTTCTATTGTTTCCTTTTATTTCATTTCTTTTTACAGAAATTATTTACTTGTCGACTCTACATATCTATACATACACATATATATATATATATATATATATATATATATATGTATATAATATATAAACATCTGTACAATACTATTAATCATCCCAATCTTCGCATCTCTGAAAAAAATGATTATGCTCATTATAAAGAATATTAAAATATCTTGCATTTTTGAAATTTACTCTTGAAATTAAAAAAAATATATCAATCCTTTGCTTTATTAACTATAGAAAATAAACCTGTTGCTTTTTAAAAATTAAACTTATACTTTTAAAAAATTTTATTGTGTGAAGAAAAGAAAAATCTTAAGATTATCACATTTGTTAAGTTTAAGTAATTTTATTAATAAATTTATATACATACTTCCTTTCCTTTCTCAATCAAACAAATTAGGAGATTTTCCGAGAAGTAACATTTATCCTGCCTTACATCTGAATCCAGATAATGAAAACATTCTATGATAGCTTCTTCTATAAAGTCCTGTAATTCTGGATTATGTATGTTACGTGTCATAAACTGGATGATTGAAATTTGCTCGGGGAATCCTCTTTGATCTACCTATTAAAACCAGAATTGAGAAAACCAACCACTAGCTGCTATTAAATTTCTATCTATTAATAGTTGAAACAGTTTATATATTAGTTTATGTATATTTACCATATTTAATTCATTGAAGAAACACTGAGTGATACACTGTAATAAATTCAAATATTTTATTAATATAAATTATTATGACATACAGTCTAAAAAATACATAGAATATATTGGCGCAAAACAGATTTGTATCACAATAAAAAGATGTAATCATGATCTACAAACAACTTGAAAATTAATAGAAAAAAGTATATAAAAATATTGTAGCGTAGTGTAATTTATCATTATTATAGAAACATATTTTTCATTATTTCTTTAATCTTCATAAAATTAAAGATAAATTCCAATCTTGCAGAGTAATATTACTACAAGGGATAACTGCAATTCTCATTTTATTTTTAATTTATTTTGGTTTGTCGTTTCTCTTAATATGAATTCAATAACAAATTCGAGATAACAATATTTATTACATTTATTATCACATAATTGAAGAACTATTATATCTTACGCCTACTTGTTGCTTGTCGTAGTTTTCAGAATTGCCATTATACATTGGGTCGTAACTTGGTCTACCAACTCCATCGGAATAACTAAAATCGCGATTATTGCCACGAGAAGAATATTGGATGTTTCTCCAGTTTCCATTTGTATAATTGACGGAATAGCGTCGATCGTTGTTTTTCTGGTTATTCCCGTGATTCCTTAATTATTATATTAACATTAATTATTAATAATAATGTTTATTCTTATTATTATTATTAATCGTGTCTGAAATAATTATTTGTGAATGCGATAATTATTTCATCTTGTTTCGCTACCGATTCTCATAGGGATCTTTCCAAGATTGCATGTTGGAATACTTGCTACCGCCATTCATAAGGAACTTTGTGCCAAATAAATCTACGCTTAAAGAATCATCATCATCGTCTTCATTCGACGAATCATTGTTGCTATAATCATTATCAGTCATAGATCGTTTCTTGCAAATTTGTATGATCTTCCGGTACTGATCATTCGCCTGTTGGACACCTGTTCTGCATTTTAATGACTGTAAGTAGAAAAACTTGCTAAAATAATTGATTGATTATTATATACATATATTTTTGCAAATATAAAATATAATTTTTAATAAAAGAAATAACTTGAGGCTTTTATGAAACAAATTCAAATTTCAAATAAAAAAGGGCTAGTCAGCAAAGTCAGATATTCGTGCTGACGTATATATTGAATAAAATAACAAATAAATATAAACATTAAAATTATATAACAACCGTTTCGACCCATTGTTTGAATAACTGAAGATGACTACTAATTTAAGGGTCGAATGTTTGTTATATGCATTTAATGTTTACATTTACTTGTTATTTTATTCAATATATACGTTACGAAAATCTAATTTGGTTTACTAGCTCTTTCTTTATTTAAAATTAAATTGAATTTGTAAAATATAATTATTTTTGCACATATAATTAAATTGCAAAAATATACGATACAATCTCTTTCCATTTTAACAATATATTTGCGTATTCGACGAATCGAAGTCTGCTGCACCTGCTGTAATTAATATTCCAGGATCATAAAAAGGAAAAGCTTGAATATCTCTTAAATTGAGTATTTCTTTAATTTTGATTAAATCTGTTTTGTTTTAATAAATTTTAACACAATTCAATTTTATATTATGCGAAATTATTATTTTATTATCTGAATAAAAGTACCTTCTATTAATCAAGTATATATGTATATACTTTTCTTGAAACCAATTATAGTTTTCAAATGGAACAAAAGTATTCGACCCTTAAATTAGTAGTCATCTTTTTTTCAAAAAGTTATTAAAAATCATTAAAAAAATACATTACACCATTTTAAAGATCTTTAAAAAAATATAAAATATATAATAATAAATATGATAATATATAGCAAATTCATGAAGCAGTATTTAAGAAAAATGATTTTCAAATCTTAACTTTGAAGAATATTTTAGTAATGGTGCGTTGTAGAAACTTATAGAAAAACATAGAATTATTTTCATCTGCTCTGTATGCTCATAAAAAAATCACCTTTTTTAAGACATGCACATACAGAATGTTCCATTTTAATTATCCCAAACAAATATCTCGAAAAATGTTTTGTCAGACAAAAATTATAAGATTTAAAGGGAAACAAATAATGGTAAAATTAATTTTAAAAAATCAATTTTTCAAGGCTGTATGAGTATTATCATTATTTTTTAAAATGGAATTGTATGATTTTTTTTACATAATATAATTCCTTTAATTATTCTGCACACAAAAGTATAAAAATGTTGTTATAAACAAATCAATAATTTACGAGATATTCTATAGTATTTATCTCGTAAATTATTGATTTGTCAATAATTTTACTTTAATACTTTTAAGTTTTGAAACAGTAAAATTTATTCACACATTTTATTCACACTTTTTGAAATAAAATACAAATAAATATCTTATAAACTATTTATTTTTTGATAATTGTATTTAATACTTTTATGTATTGCATAATGAAATAGTGTAAAGAAAACGGTCACTTTTTAAAAAATTATGTAATTTGCAATAGGCGCGCGTGCGCGTGCACAAAATGCTATTTGGAAATTATCTTACCTCTTTTATGTATTTTTTTGTATGCATTTGACATCGCAACGCTAGAGCGTTGCTTGATAACCATTACATGTTATAATTAACTTGAAAATGACATTCTTCAAATGACCACCTCTTGAGTGCAATCTCAAAATACTGATGAACTTAAAACAAATATTTACAAAGAAATTTATGCACAGTATAATGAAATAGTGTAATTTCAAACACAATTGAAATGTTGTAAGAAGAGGCTTCAGAGAGAGATTATAAATGTGCATACACTTAAGAGTGATCATGCATTTGAAGGATATCATTTTCAAGATGTAATGGTAATCAAGCGATGCTTTGTGATGTCAAGTATACGTAAAAAGGACAAGGCAACTTCTAAATCGCATATATATTTTGATGTAATTAAATTAATTAAATAAAATTTTTTAAGTTTTATTTTACTCCTTTAAATTGTCCTATTTGATCCATCTTATGTTTTTATTTCCCTAAATTTCTTATTAAAAAATTTAATAATTAAACAATTTAATAACATAACAATAATAACAATTTAATAATTATCCTTCGAATTACTTTTCAATTTTACTTATTATTTTTTCTGTATTTACAAACAGAAATTATACAAGAGAAAGAAAATATATATTGACAAGTTTTATATATAATTTATATGTATACATATGTTTTTTTATTCAACAAATTTTACCAAGTATAATTTCTATACTAATAATAAATAGTAAATATTATTCAGCCACTTTTCAAAAAATGAGTAAATACATTTTACATGACCAAAAATCTCTTTCAGTTACTTACATTCGCTGATTCTATCAGCAGCAAGCAAAGGCTGCACAGAACAATAAGAATCACTCTGGTCATCATTTCGTGCGAGCTTTATCCCTTTGAATGAATTTCATCTTTTTTTTTCACACATATTTATGCAGTAGCACTAAAAATGCTTGTGTCACCGCTGAGACAAGTTGATAGACAAATAATTGTTGCGAAACAAAATAAATTGTTCTATACCTCCGGACGGAGACACGCTCGACTACTCTTCTTATGCAATTCTTCTAATTACTGATCGAATTGCTGTGACCATTGTTACAGATGAATCCTTTGTGTGAGAAAATCATTGAATTGTCAAGGAGAAAGGAAGAGAGAAAGAGAAAAAGAAAAGAATCCAATCACAGAGAAAGTGAGAGCTTCGTGAAGGTATGACATGTTCGACGAGCGATCAGTTCTCCAGCAATTGTTCACCGAAGAAGATACAATGTACATCAAATGCTTTGTAAGTACGTGTATTATTATCGCAAGTACCTTGCGAAAAATCTTTCAATAAAAATGATTTAACTACATAAGTATAGTACATATTTCTGAAAATTGTATATGCGAGAGGTGGAAATATAGATCGAGGAAAGCAACAGACTGTGAAGATGTGAAAGTGAATGTTGATAAATTCCCTGCTTGTGAAGAATTCTAAAAAAATTTGTTAAAATTTCTATAAATTTTTATATTTTTCACATAATTTCATAACTTTTAAAAAAATTTTCTCAGATTTATTATACGTATTGAAATTAATACTTTTAAAAATGTTGAGAAAGTCTACATCTTTTTTTTAAATTCTTTATGTACACTCGCTCACTAAAAGATTGCAACACTTTTTTTTTTATAGGTTTCTAATTTATATTTAATATACGTAATATATACTTTATAGATAACTAATATTTTGTAAATGCAAACCACGATGTACTATCTTTAGTCTAGAGGCAGTATAACACCAATCGTGGTCCGCATTTGCAAAATATTAGTGCGTTTTGAAACCTATAAAAAAGAAAGTGTCGCAACCTTTTAGTGAGCGAGTGTACATGAACTTTAAAATATTCTTAAATTTCGAAGATTTCTCATTCCATAATTTTCAAAAAAAAATTTATAAAATTTATTTTAAAGATCTTTTTTAGAAATTTTCATAAATTTAAAATATAAAAAATTCTTAAAAATATTATAAAATACGAAAATTTCTTCTGTCAAAATTTTGCTAAGTAATCATATGAATATTTATCATTATCTGGTGTAAAACCAATGACCAAGTTAATAAAACTCGTAAATAAACAAACGAAATATCCTGCATTCTTAGTTCATGTTTCATATTGTTTTCAACTTTATTCTTATTCTTTATTCGGCTTATTTCTGTTTCATTTTTTTTATTGCCTTATCATCCTCATCCTCCAAATACAATTCGATGAAATTTCGTTAATCATTGATTTTTAATAGAGAAATTTTACTAGTACCTAGAATAGAATTGTAAGAAGTCATTCTATACTTTTTAGTTATTGTCTATACTTTACTTTGTAGCTTCTACTAAAACTTTTTTCACTTGCGATCACGTTGTCTATACATGATGATAATACAAACGGAAAAGTCACACCACTATATGCAAGTAATCTTTCGACAATTTATTCCGCTATGCTATCTAAAAGGGCAACAGACCAGTCATCAGACGGAAATCGAGTAGATTTTCAAATAAGGAATCATCAGGGTCCAGGAACATACATATTTGGTTTTGATACTGGACATGGGTAAATTTTGCTGTGCTATATTATAGTTATATTAATTGCCGTGTATGTAGGACTAGTAAATTAAATAATGAGAATTTTATACAAATTTTCAAGAAAACAATAATGGAAAAGATTGAAATATATCATTTCCGTCGTAGAAAAAATCGACAATACAAAATGGAAGAGCGTCGTCGGGACGGAAGCGTCAAAGGTCGATACGGTTTTTATGATGCGAAGGGAAAACTCAGAATCGTCAGCTATATCGTGGGTCCCACTGGTGGTTATCAAGAACGTCATCACGAGACCATAACTTACAAATCAGAAACTTAAATACCTTTTCTCAGAAAAGACGTTTCTATCAAATAAAATTAATTCCTGTCATAATATATCAGATATTTAGCATTTACTAAAACATAACAATTACTGAAATAAATTTTAAGTTACGCAGAATCAGCAAAATATGTATTTGATAGACAGGTATTGAGTTGATGCTAAAATGTTGGGGTTTAAAAAAAAAAAAACTAATTTTATTTCTAATAATATATATAATTTATTAAAATTTTATTTAAATTAATACACGTTCCTAATATGCTTTTAAATTATAAATTTCTTATTCGTAAAAATCCCGGTTATTTTCATAAAAATTTTGAACAGCTTTAAATTCTGTGTATCGCTTTGCCCGAATAAAATCTGTTGGACTGTGCACTTGTTAAGACTATTCTCCTCAAATGAACATATTTTGAGTAGCTTAAGTAGTAAAATGTGTCAATTTGAATTCATTTAACATAATTGTCCGAATATCTTGATTTCTTAAGTTTTATTTTAAAATACATTAATAAAATAACAAGGTTGTTAATAAAATATTGGTAAACAAACACTATCTTATTTTAAACAATTCAGCTGAATATATCTCGAAAATTAAACCCGGCAGAAAAATATTTTAAACAAAAATATTTGAGAGTTTTTAGACAAACGTTGTATGATTTGAAGGAAATAATAAAAAAATTAATTGTCGTTTAAAATAAAATTTTCAAAATCACAAAGATTATTGCAATTATTTAAAATAAAATTATATAATTTTTTACAAAATTATTTATTTTGCATATAAAAATATTAAAGTAAAGTTATCAAAAAGTCAATAATGTACAAGATATTTTATACCTTAGTCTAATTTTGACATAAAATATAAAAAATCTCGTAAATAATTCATTTTTTTATAACGTACATTAATACTTTTATGTACAGAATAATGAGATAGAGCAATTGGTGTTTCTTTTTAAAAAATTATGCAATTTTTAATATGCTTTCATTAACATGCTATTATTCTTTTGAAAAATAACTATTTATTTTCATTACACTAATTGATTCATGTTATCATTCTATATACATATATGAGTCTTAGAACATAATATGTTCTAAGATATGAGTATTAAGGGGCCTGCCTAGTCACCGTGGCCATATTGGACTCGTGACATCATAAGCGAGAAACAGCGAGAAATGACACGTAAAAGTTTGTTGCGTGCCATTTTTAAATAAAGAGGATTTGGATAAAATTAATAAATAGAGTCGCTTTTGAAAACTTGTAAAAATGGATGAAAACTATCCTTTTCCCCCCTGGAAGTCAGTAAGTAGTCATAAAAGGCATGTAAAGTGAAGCTTACTCAGACAAGAAAACTCACGATTTGACAGCTGTTGAAAGGAATGGAAAAAATACTTTACGTATAAAATTCGACAATAACTATAGTTTTCATCCATTTTTACGATTTTGATAAATACGAGACAAGTCACATTTCCACAATTAAGCACATAATAACGA